TCGCACAATTGTACTGCTCAAATTCTAGTGGAATCCTTTCACATGGGCTAGGCCCCGTGATTTTTTTTCCTTTCCCGGGTTTCCATGTAAAAAAATATTATATTCTATGTGTGTGAGCTGGATATATGTGCAATGCTAAGACGTAAAATTATAACTATATCATCACGTATATTCTAGCCCACAACAATAGTAATGATTTTATTATTATACAACACTAAAACAAAATCATAATATAATTTTAATTAAATATGTTTCGTTCTAGAAATTTCGCAGCGGTAGACATATATGGAGCTTAGCGTCCTACTTTTGTATGAAAATCTTGAACACAAACAAATGAAAGATAGGAGTGTAGCATTTATAAGAGACACTAATATTTTTATATAGAAAATCCTATAAATAAAAAAAATCACAAGGCTTGACCCATTTTATTTGATTTTACTAGTATTTTTAGTTAATTACAAATGGTGCCCTTTTGCGAGGGGGAGGCATTGGCTCCATATACCCTATATAGCACACTACGTAGTTGGGGTTGAAAGAATCTAATGATGAGGGAGCCATTCTCAAGAGAACGTTGGTCTATTCATTTGGTTAGCAGGGCTATATTTGAGCAATGGAGATCAGGGGACAATAGGCAGCGTGCAATAGTGGTTAGAAGGATCATAATCTGCGGGCGATGGTGGTAAGAGGATTTGTAGTTGGCAGGCGACGATGGTCGGAGGAATCATAGTCGGCGGGTGATGGAGATCGAAGGGACTATAATCAGCGGGAGACGGTGATCAGATAGACCATTTTCGGTAGGCGATAGTAGTTAGTTGAACCATATTGGGCTGGTGATGGAGGTCTGAGCGACCATATTTAGTTAGCAATAGTGATCGGAGGGATCGTAGTCAGCGGATAACGATGTTCGAAGGAGCCGTAATTGGTGGGCGATGCATGTCAGAGGGATCGTAGTGGGTGGGCGACGAAGATCAGAGGGACCATCTTAGGGATTGTAATCAATAGGCGACAGAGGTAGGAGAGACCGTAGTCGATTGACAACAAAGGTTGAAGGGGTTGTAGTCGATGGGTGAAGGGATCATAGTGGATGAGCGATGGAGATCAGATGGAATATTGGAGGGATCATAATCGGTGAGTGATGGAGGTTGGAGGGACCGTAGTTGGTTGACAATAGAGGTCGCAGGGACTGTAGTCGGCATGTCGTAGAGGTCGAAGGGACCAAAGTCGAGGGGTTACAATGGTCGAAGGGGCCATAGTCGGCGGGTGATAGAGGTCAAAGGGACCATAGTCAGCGGGTGATAGAGGTAAGAGGGACCATTGGAGGGATAATAGTTGATGTGCGACAGTGGTTAAAGAGTTTGTAGTCAGAGGGAGATGGAGGTTGGAGGGTTTGTAGTCGGCGGGTTACGGAGGTCAGATGGATCATAGTCGGTAGGTGATGTTAGTCATATGGACCATTAGAGGGATTGTAATTGGCAGGTGATAGAGGTCGAATGAATTGTAATTAATGGGTGACGTTGGTCGGATGGACCATCGGGGGATCGTAATCGACGAGCAACAATAGTTGGAGGGATCATAGTCGGCTGACGATGGTGGTCGGAGGGATCATAGTCGCGGGTGATAGTAGTCGGAGGAACCATAAATAGTGGATGATGGAGGTTGAAGGGACCATAGTCTGTAGGGTAATCATGATCGGAGCAACCGTAGTCAATGGATGACAGAGTTGGGAGGGACCGTAGTCGGGGGGCGACGTTGGTCTGATAGACCATCGGCAGGATCGTAGTTGTCCGGCAACAGTGTTGGAGGGACTGTAGTCGACCGACAATAGTGGTTGGAGGGACTATAGTTGGAGGGCGATCATGATCAGAGAGATCGTAGTCAATAGGCAATGAAGGTCCAAGGCATGGTAATCAGTAAGCGACTATGGTTAGAGAGACCATAATTGGTAGGCAACGGTGATCAGAGGGACCATAATTGGTTGATAACGAAGGTCGGAGGGACCATAGTTAGTGGATGACGGAGGTCAGAGGGACTGCAGTTATGACTGTAGTTGGTAGGCGACGATGCTCGAAGGGACCATAGTCAGCAAGTGGCTAAGGTTGAAGGGATCATAGTGTGCAGGCAATAGAGGTCGGAAGGATCGTAGTTGGAGAGAGAAAGTGGTCGAAAGAATCGTAGTCGACGAAAGATGATAATTAAAGGAACCGTAGTCAGCGAGCGACTGTGGTCCGAGGACAATCGAGTGGAAGTGGTGGCGTTCGTCGGTTAGGTGGTAGCCTGGCAGCAGTCAACGGATGAATGGTGGTCTGACGATGGTCGACAGAGGTTCACCGGCGGTGATGCTGGAACTTTTAAAGCCTTAGAGCTCTCTCCAATCTCTAGATAGTGCATGGAGGTTTATTTATAGATTTTATGAATGGCACATTCCATAAATATATAGAATATTCAGGGCATGTTCTAATTCCTTCATCGGATGGCCGTATTGATTCCCCCGATAATAGAGCATTTTCAAGTGTTTAAGTGCCTTAATGATGTCGGAATTCATCGATCTTGGGCTCGTTGTATTCATCCCGCCGAGCCACTCGATTCGACTAAAAGCATGTCATATTTGGATATCATTTTGTCATCCAATTAATGCTTTGAACCTTCCA